ACCGTGGGATGCCGGTTTGATTATTTCATTTATTACTCTTAACTCCTGTGTTTTTCCTTTTTTTTTTTTTTTTTTTTTTTTTCCCTTATGCTTCTCCTTTTGGGCCAGACGTTGCAGCTTTCCAGCCAAGTAAAACATATTCCTGGACAGAGCAGGCAAAAAAGGAAAGGTGACAGTAACTGACAGTTCCTTAGATTTCTGAAACAGCCAGGCCCCCAAGCCATTGGAATCACTGCATTTGGAAAAAAAAAAAAATCTTTTATTTTTTAAATTCAGTTTGCATTGGTGTTGCCAGTGGACGTAGTAGTACTGATATTTATAGCGCGAAAGCTCAAGCACTTCATGGTACCAAGAGAAAAAAAAAAAAGGCTCCTGTTTTTTCAGGAGGTATAGCTAAAACACTAATGCATCCATATTGCTTACCTAGGAACGTAAGCAATTAAGGCCAAAAGAAAAAGAGAAAAGTAACAGGAAGATAAAAGGTAAATAAAAAGAATGATACAGAAAATGAGGGCGAAATGAATGAAAAGAGAGGTAGAGAAAGTGAGGGCTAAATGAGTGGAAGAAGAAATTCTGTACTAATTGACTTTATTGCCAAGTTTAGGAAGGTTTATAAATATATATATATATTTTGAAAACTAGAAGTCCAGTGTGCTTTAGGTTTTTGGGATTCACTTTTGCTTCCCATGCTTTTCGCTTCAGCAAAGCAGCAGCTTCACTTGTCAGTCAAAGCAGGCCTTGAAAATCAAGTGACATTAAGTGCACTGTTCTTAAAATAGGCTGCCTTTTGCCCCAGAATCTCAAAACACATCAGAAAACATTCATAAAGTGTCCCTGCACAGTGCTCTGAAATAGACAGCACTCTTGTCTTTTTTGTTGATTTATTTTTGTTTGTTTTCAGTTCAGGAATTGCGGGAAGTTTAAAGGAACACACTTTTAATGGGCTATTTTTATCATTTCTGATTTTCAGTAAAAACTTCCTTCTAAACAACACATCCTGACTCAAACATCTTTCAAAAGATTTCCATGTGCTTTTCTCCTCTAGTTTCTTAATTTCCAAGTATATTTTCAGTGAGGTAAAATGGTTTGACACTGGCTGTGCTTTTCAATAGGAACATGTGGCCGCTGTGCCGTTATGAAGCATATATGTTGCTCCGAGACTGGATGCTTTTACATGCTTTTACAACAGTAACATTAGTGCACCAAGCAGCCTTCCATGTGCAAAGAGAACAAGCCAAAAGAAAACACAATGTTTTTGCCGGACAAAAAAAAAAAAAAAAA